TGATCTCCATCTGATCAGTTTCGGACATGAGTGTATACCGATTGCCATCCTTCTTTAGATAACCATTTATGACGGCGGTGTGCAATGTATGCGGCAAATGGCGCTTCAACTCCACCTCCGGCCTTTGGAGTCTCACTGCCAGGGTATTTATAATCTCCGGATAGCTTACGGATCGCATAAGTTCGCGCATCAGTGAGATAACGGCTCTAAATAGATCCGGCAAAGGCTCTTTGCGCCAACGGATACTTTGCCGGGAGGTGCAGCCATTAAGCTGCAATCCCTGCTCCGAAAACTGTGGTGTTGAAGGGTTTAGCGGATTTAGTGGTGCTGCCGGCAGTACTGAGGTCGTCGGCAGAGCCAGCAAGCCAGCGGGTTTGAATACAGGCGCCTCGACATTGAGCCTAAAATCACCAGAATTCTTCGAAGGTTTCGGCAAGAGTCCTCTTCCTTCAGTGGTGGGCATGGTATAAGCAGTGGCATTGGCATTTAACGTGGATTTGGCCGCCGTCAAAAAGATGGATGCAGAGGGCTTCTCCGTTGACGGAGGTTTGCAAAACCAAAGCTCATCCTTCTCCGTTTCTCCATCATCGTGAACCAGCGTTAAGCAGCTCGGACGACCCTTCACATTTAGCGAATCACCATTATTGTCCTGGACAGGGTCATGGGCCGAGTGAACTTGGGCTTGGGTGGTCCATCTTCGGCCACCAAGACCAATTCCAGATCCATGATCGTTGCTCGTGGTGCTGGTGCTGCTGGTGCTACTGGTGCTACTGCTAGTACTGTTCGTACTGCTAAGATCCAAATTGACTGCTAGATCCAGATCAAGATCAAGACCCAGGCCCATTTGTATTTGGTGGGGAAGTGGGCGTTGCTGCTGCATCAGTTGATGGTGATGATGATGATGATGATGATCACCAGTTAGCTGATGATGATGATGATGATGATGATCACCAGTTAGCTTGTGGCTTAAACCCAAATTGAGATTAAGACCCGATGAGAGGCGATTCAGATTAAGTTGTTGTTGAAGTTGCTGCTGCAACTGCTGGTTCAATTGACTTAAATGATTTAACTGGCTCAGCTGATTGAGCTGATTGAGCTGATTGAGCTGATGATTCAAGTGATGATGCGACGCTTGCTGTAATCCAATTGCAGAACCCAATTTCTGGCCCAAAATTAAACTGTGCCGGGCGGCCAGCGCCTGCTGCGGCAAATTGCCGAGCTTATGATGCAAATCTTCCATCGCTTACCTCTTGCCGGGATATTAATTTGCTATCCAATATGTTCCCAAAAGCGTTCTTCGGTAAGAATTCGTTTTAGGAGCTGATCACTGGATGGCGGCTTTAGATTTTTGGGCTTTTGTAGATTTTTGAAATCGTTATCGGTGATGTAATCTTCTTTAAATTTCCTTATTCTTTAATCGTCTTCGTTGGGCTTATCTGCGACTATCTTGTTACGAAAGATACGTTCTGGAGGAAAACCGGGAAATTGGTAGTCTAGACACTGAGAAACAAAAACCCAGCAGAAGAACACGGTACAGATACGTTAATTTACAACAGTTTGCTGTGTGCTGCCGAAAGAGAAAATTTTGCCGATTGAATGAAGGGTGTATGTGTCGTGTTTATATTTTTAGAAGGCTCGAAGTGAAGTGAAGTGAAGTTAGATCGAAAACTGCCTAACTGCCTAACTGCTGAGACCTAGCTGTCTGAGTTTTTTTTTTTACATACAGCAACAAAAATATAGTTAATTGTGGTTAAGCTTAGTGAAAATAAAAATGCAAATACTCAGACAAATAAAATAGTTTAAGGGCTGTTTTCATCAATTTCATACGTTTTTTTTTTCAGTTTAACTCCCCGCAATCATTCTGCGTTTCTGAAAAATGATCTAAACAAAAATACTATTTGCTAAATTGTTAGATTAAATATTGTAAAAACTAAAATAATTTTGGCGACAACCAAAGTAAACTGTAAAATGTTTATAGCTGAAGTACCAAATGTAGCTCTTTTGACCCCAAAAAGAGAGACCAAATGTCTATTATGGGGTGAAAAATGTAACTTTAATATGTACAGTACATAAATAAAAAGAAAACCTCAACAACAAAAGGGCATAACAATTTTGGGACCCGAGCTTTTCGGTTGGGTCGCTTTTAACCCAAAAAAGGATGACTTTGCCGCGGGCCAAAATACAAGCCCAATCCGTTTACCCAAAAAACCATGTAAAACAATATGCCACCGAAGGTCCCAAGATTATGCGATATAAACGAAATGAAAAGGGGGCGCGCGTTTGTTTAGCCTTTGTGATGAGGTGCGAAAAATCACAAGAATTGGATTTCGTTCTTGAATTATGGCCAATCTCGCTCAAGGGGTTTATTCATTTTTTTTTTGTTTTTTTTTTTGTTGCTCTGGTGGGGGGTTTGGGTGTCTGGCAATTGGAAAGCACTAATTTGGTGTGTTGGGATGGAGAATGGGGGGTTGGGCTCAGAAGGGATAATCCGACATTAGTGAGCGACTTTCAATGAATAACCAGTTTGTATTTCGAGTGTTAATGTGCCACGTCACTTCGCTCCATCATCACTGAACGGGTCCGCAGTGTTGGGTAATTTCACAATTTTCAAATTACACACCGCAAAATCTCATTTAGCTGAGTAAAGCCAGTTGACTGGACTAAACTCTGGGACCACACTGCACATACACAGGCACACACACAAATTACTAAATGAGTTGCCCAAGGGGGACTTAGAGTTTGGGCGGTTTCATGGTGGTGGAGATGCTGCATCATTGTAATGTGCTTCGTCCCTCACGCTCGCTTGCCCCGTTCAACGGGCGTGAAAACAACGCACTCGAAGCTGGGAACCTAGGACCTCTAAAAGCACCGAGCTCTCCGAGTCCAAACAGGTATTATCACACATTAAAACGAGTGTGTGTGTGTGTGACAGTCAGTGTTGGGAAGTACCTAGATACTTATAACTAGGTACGTACCCAAATAACAAAGTGAGGTCATTAAAACCTTACCTAGCTAAACAAATACATTTGATTTGATTGAATTGATTTGCGCATACCTTAGAAAAAAGCTAAGTATTTAGCTTCTGAAATATTGGCCTTTAGTTTTGTTTTCAAATTTTTACATTTTGTATTGTGTTCTAGTACCTTTAACAACTCTGGTGCTTCTGTGTGAGTGGGGTGCATATGGCCAAGGACATAAGCGTGACTAAACCCTAAGCGCAGTGACTTCCGCCTCCTCCTTCAGGGGGAAAGGGATGGAGGGATGATGGAGGAGCGTGGCCGCATCCTGTTTGGAGCCTTTATATGCCAGTTGGTGTCGCAACAATCAGTGAACTCAAACAGTCGCTTACACACATGCTCTCTTAGTAGCACAGAGCTTTATATATATACAACAGGGATGTTAAAGGCTACGGAAAATTCCGATTAGATATTTATAACGCTTTCAAAAGGTTTGAAAACCCCAAGTACTCATATAATAATAAAAGTACTCTTTTATCGATAAAGGGTATACTCTAGCAATATATTCAGGAATAATAATACATTTTATATTAAAATAATATCGGACTTAAGCACAACGACAATAAATCGATAAGGAAATAAACCGATACCGAAATAAATCGATAAGGAAAAAAACACTCTTGTATCGGGCTATAACCCAACAACAAATGATAGCTTGGAAATATTTTGGGTATTACTGAAACGACTGAATCTCTAAATTGCCGAAAATTCAGCAGAAATATACTGAAAAACGGGCGGCTGCTACTTGCGATGAAAAATAAATCGACTAAGAAAGAAAAGCACTCTTATATCGATAAAATTTATATAACCCAGCAACAAATGATAGATTGGCAATATGATTTATTTGACCTAACACTTGTATTTGATCATTTATTTCATATGTCATTGATTGCAACATTATTAAAGCCATCTATGCTTTTGTCATCGCTAATCGGACCCAACTGGACCATGTATGCTGCGTACATATACTACATGGTGGGTCAAGGGGGAGAGTTCAATATGCGCCCGAAGCTGACACCACATCAAACACAAAGGACGCGATTGAGGTCGCCCGTCTTAGTCAACGTATCCTTGTTGATATGACCGCAAGCTCAAGGCACTCATATGACAGCATCACACCTCAGGAGGGGTGGGGATTGTTGGATTGTTGGGTTGTTGGATTGTTGGGTTGTTGGATTGTTGGGATGTTGGGTTGTTGGGCTGGGCATTCTGCCTTCGAGTTGCATTTCAATTAGCCCGTTTAGCTACTGGCAAGGAGTCGAGGAGGTTGAGAGACCAACGCAGTTGACACACAAGACGTTCGGGATACGGGGAATGCGTCCACCGATGCCGCACGTCGATCAGCTTGTAGGTGTAGAGCAGAGTAGAGCAGGGTAGAGTGGACTTTGCGGACCGCATCGTCCAGTTGGCCGTTGCTTTGCGGGCTTAACTCCCCGCTCAGTCAGTTAAGTGGGTTGCCATGGGGAGCTGGGAAACTAATTGAGGATTACTTGAAGGAATAATTCTCTACAGGAAACCGATTCTCTCTATCTCGTTACTGTGTTGTTTAAAGCCAGAACTTATTTACCTCAACCAAACGTCTCTAGTACATTAAGTAAAGAATTCTCTTGTAGCAATAGGATAGTGACAGAAAGAAATAGCTTAATAAGTAAGACCTTTGTGAAAAAAAAAGGGAAACGAGCAATTCAGAGGGTTTTAAATTTAAGTACTTACATTTTTATATTTAATATGGAGCACAGTTTATTTAAAATTGTAGCTGTGATTGAAAAACGAAATCCAGGGCACACCTGTTGTCATTATTCAAGTGAATGCAACAATGCCTGGTGCTTTCATGCTTATAAAAAAAAGAAGAACTTTTAATGTATGACCATTGAATTGCTAGTGTAAAATTTTTTTAGTGCTATAGTTCTAGCTCTTTATAGCTTTGTCCCACATTTGAGTAACTTATTATTAAAGTGGTATATTAAATACATTTCTTGGTAGTTTTAGTTGATAATGGTATATTTTTCGATACATTTAAAATTTGTTTTTATCAATTTATTGGCTTTTCCGGCTCCGCCGTCACCCTTTTGATGGCCTGCTCCGCTGACCTGCTCATTAGTCCCTCCTGATGGTTGTTGGATGTGGATTGTTGATTGTGATACCGCTCCCGATCCCGATTTTGGCCACTGGTTCCACTCGAGATCCTCTCCTGCGCTCGGTGGTGTTCCGCGGTGGCGGCGATCGATAAGCTCTCCGGATGGTGGGGATGATCATCGGGGTCCAGGCGACTGGGAACTATCGAGTAGCGATAGTTCTTCACCCGCAGGTAGCCGTAGATTAGGGCATCGTGGAGGCTTACCGTGATCTGGCGCTTGAGCTCCTCATCGCTGCGGTCCAATCGATCGGATACGGCCTCCACGATCTCGGGCTCGGTTAGTGGATGGTCGGCCTCGGCGATCACCTGCAGGATGTTGCTGAAAAGATTCGGGATGAGTTTGCGTCGCGGTGCCCGGTTGTAACTGCTGTGCAACATCCTGGGATCCTTGGGCTATGGGGCGGAGGACAGAGTTCTGAGCTACAAACTACAGCTTGATAAACTGTATTAGGCTTTGCTTTTATGTGACACAAAAAACCACGATGCCCAGTCTCACTTTCGAGTGGAACGAATTTATACTATAGGAAAGTCAACATAATATGTTCTTCCAACACAAAAAGTTTTGCCTAAAACTACGCTTCAGGTGTTTATTAAAGAGTCACAAACTTTTCTTTTGTCGCCAACCTAAAAAGTTTGCCTTTTTTGCGGTTCCCATTTCAATTCGACTGTCTTTCTCTTGCTTTTTAGCTATGAATTCAACATTTAAAATGTCATACAAATTTGTGAACCCCTTGTTTTGTTTATATTCCGAACTAAACTGTAAAAATCTTTATCCCTTTTAATCTTTTAATGAAAACTTGTTGTCTGCTAAAAGAAAAAAATAAAGCCAGAAAACCGAAACTAGATAATGTAATTTTAAATATTGATTCCATTTGAAATATATTCGTTTAATTGGCAGTGACTTGAAAAGTTTATCTGGTAATCGTAATGAATAAAGGCAGCCAAGTTATCCTATCCTTGAGTCGCAACCACCGACTTTACGCTTTTTCGCTTTCCTCCGTCGAGACAGTCAGTTAGTCAGAGGTCGGAGGCCAAAGACGATTTTGTTGGCAGGGGGGCAGACAACCAGACGGTCTCAATATCGATTTACAGTTAAAGTTGCTGCTGCGGATGCGGATGCCAATGCGGATGCCAATGCGGATGCCAATGCGGATGCGAATGCGGATGTTGCTGTATGGGTAATCAAGTACAAATGCGGGGATCGCAAAGTAAGAGCCGATGACGCCATAGACACAAAAGAAGAAGGAACTGTGCGCGACACAGGCGCTTCAAATTTGCATGGCACATCGCAACGGAAGAGGACCATCGCATCGTTGTTAGTGTAATTTGTTATTGTTGTTGTGTCTGGCACGTGTCGCATGGAATTTCAGATAGCAGAAGATTTTTTTAGTGGGCGGACTACTGGATGGTTAAACAAGGCAAGGCAGGCGGCATATAACACAATAACCGCAACCCGATTGAAATCTCCACGAATGCAGAATCGCATTAATCTGGCCGCGAGGGGCGGCTAATGAGTTTGGCATCCGCAAAAATTCCTTTTCAGCTGGCGCTCTATGTGCATCTCACAGTGCGTTCGCATTCCTAATTACACCACCATCAGATGAGGCCAAAGCCGTCAGCAGCAGGTAGGACATACACTGCGAAAAAGGCTGCAAAAACATATACACGAAGTTTGAAAAATTTTGAATAAATATGAGATTTTATGAAGAAATATCTATATAAAATTTATGATTCAGATTGCCTTTTCACTTTTCCTTGTGTGTGTGTGTGTGTGTGTGTTGATATAAAGTTGTGTCTTAGGCTTCACCTTTCACTTTATAAAAGATTTTCACTTCGACATTTAAAAAGATAAATCAAGCAAAAGTAAGCAAGATTGTAAACTGATATATAGTATATATTAGTTATATTCTCCCCAGTGCATGTGTACAGAGAATCCAATCACTATCTCCACATTCCCCTTAGCAGCTGTCAAGCTTGATTAGCAACTTTGAGCAGTTGGAACGAAGCAAACTTTTGTTTCACATCCATTTCGGTTTCATATTATTTTCCACCAACTCTCCAACTCTGCAACTCCAACTTCAAACCGAAAGCTAAAACTGAAGCTCTGAACTCAAAGCTGGGGCTGCAGCTGAGTGTTAATTATGACTGACAGCGTTGGCAAGCGCTACACATTTCAGCACTTGGACACCACCCAACCACCGAGTTAGTGAGCAACTGAGCCACCGGAGCCACCCAGGCAATGAGCCACCCAACTACCCACGTCCAGTGGCTGCAAGTTTGACTAATCCGGCGCCAGTGATTAGGCCAGGCTCCAAATGCGACTGCTAACAATTAAAGCCAGCCAGTTGCGGCTGGGAAAGTTTATCCTCCTAAAAATCGCATCTTCCATACACGGAAAAAAATCACATATATGTAGGGTAAAACAGAAAGTCAGAAAAATTTTAAATAACAATTGTTTAATAATCCAATCAATAAAATGGGAATGCATTATTAAATCGATACTTTTGACATGCTTATGTATGATTAAAATGGTCGAAAAAAAAGTTTTTTTAAATAGTTAGCTGCGCCTACACTTCTTAAATCAGTTTTTAAATCTATTTTGAAAAATATATATTTCAATTTGAAATTGTTTGGGTTATTGCCTAATGGAGGATAAAACAATAATTTGTTTTACTCGAAACGTACCAACTTAAAAAAACAATTCTAAAATTGTGTACAATCTATTCATGTAATGATTTTTCCTCAGAATATTTTTCTCAGTGCACTTCTCACTCATGCAATTAACTGGAACTTTTATGCTCCATTTGGGTAGGGGAGTGATGCAAGAATTATGACTCGGAATCAGGCGAGCAGCGCACACATGGAAAATAATTTATTTTACGATTAGCGGACAACGATATAGCCCTCCCCTCCGCCATTCTCCTCTGGCCGACGATGCGAATAAGTGACTGGGCGTCATATAGTACACCCGCTGGTCCGGTGAATAAGTGCCAAAGCATATAGTAGTAGTAACTGGACATTGTCCAATGCAAAAGCGGCGTCGCTGTCGTCAGCAATTCCATTCCAACGGAAGTTTGGCCATTCAAAAGCAACTGGCAATAAACTGAAACGTGAGTTATCGATGTGGGGTAGTCAGTTAGAGATAAATCTACGCAATGATAACGTCAAAGTTGCTTTTGATTAATGGTTTATTTTAACCTTTTGAATAACAGTTTTACATAGCTAAGATCGATTTATTTTGAATTGGTTTTTTGAAAATGATTCGTATTAGTTTAGAAATAATTGTAACGTCTTCCCTTCAAGCTTAATGAAGATTTGACATATTTAAAAAATATTTAAATATTTATTGCCTTAATGGACCTGCATAAAATTATAAGGTTTAAGAATTGGAGTCATAATACCAAAACAAAACAAAAAAGTTGCTGGTTAAATTAACTAAAATTAATTGAAATTTAATGTTTTGCGATATAGGAACTACTTTATTAAGTTCTATACGTTTTTGACATAATCACATAATTTTCTCAACCAAAGAACATAAAACCATGACATAATCAACAAAATATTTGCAAATAAAGGCCAATCGTAAACATGACGCATACTTGTCGGGCAGAACGTTTCCCAAGTTGGCTCCTAAAGTTTTGCCCCAATTGCACTTCTTCAGTAAGTAGTTAAGTTCATTTCCAGTGTGCTAACATAATCGCACGGGTAGGTGAAAGTACGAGTAAAAGTGAAAGTGAACCAAGGACAGAGAGGCACACTCAAATAATAATAAAAATCTTTTGTGGGTGGGCATCTTAATGGTAACGCTAAGCGGAAAAGTTTTTATGAATTTTATTAGTTTCGTCGCGCGATGGGATGCCAAAACAAATGGCCATTCCAGTCCCTTCGTAATATATATATGGGCATCCGGGATTGGATTGGATTGAGTGGGGTTTTAAGCATATCGATTTGCCGCCTTGGCGTTTTCCCGTTCAGATTTATCAACGCCACACGCGATGGACAGGTTTGGTGGATTTCCTCTGGCTGCATGTCGATATGGATGGAATGGTCAGCTGTCGATAGGGCGGTTGGCATGGGTTCGAGTCCCGGTCCACCCTCGAGGCGTTGCTAATCTAATTTGCAGTTATTGGCGGGCCAGATTAGCACACGCGCACAAGGCGGACACACATGTGTGTGTAATGCGTATCGCGTGTGCGGAGATTCCATTCCGAATTGCCTATAATTTGGCGCACAATGCGCACAAAAACAAATTTTTTTTTTCCAAAATGCTTAGGATCTTTTTTTTTTTTTTTTTTGATAATATTTTAATGAATTCGATTTTATATGAAAAATTCATTCAGCCGAATATAAAACACTAATAATAATAATAATAAATGCTAATTTTTAACTTAATGTATTAGTTGAATCAAATTTAAAGGGATTTAACGTGACACTTAAAAGAAACCAACCAACTTTTAATGTCAATTTGATACTTTTACTATTTCAAGTTGAAAATGATTAGTAGCCGAGTACACTTTTAAAATTTAGGAGTATCAAATTTATACATACTGTTATCGACAATAGCAGTAGTTTAAATATTTTCTTATTAATTTTTTTTTGGGTGTATCTAATTTTATAAAAGTTTTAATCAATCTATGAAAAATATAGACCAGTGTTTTAATACTCGCTAGTCCTCTCAAGAGGAAATCTTATAAAAATATTTCAATTTTAAAAACAAAGGTAGTAATTTTTTTCTAAGTGTGGCAGATTCAATGTGAGGCACAAGGACATATTACCATCTCAGGGCTGAGGCCTCGGAACTACAAACTCGAAGGACTCAGCCACAGCCTGGCACCCACATATACATTAGTCGAAGCTGTGCAAGTGCAAAACATAATGAAAATGATGTCAGTTTGATAAGATTTCGCCGCAGGGTGTACGTACGTACGTACATACACATGTGGGTGGTGCGATATTGTGGGTGTTCGTGTATGGCTGCCATTGTTTTTGTGCGAAATGCTCGCATGTTATGAGAAAAGTTTCGCCGCTTAAAGATGTTTCGATGGGAAACTTCGGCACCGCATGCTCCAGCGCAAACCCAACCCAAATGTGCTGTTCGCATGCACATTGAATGTATCACATTTGTTTTTCGAGGGAAACAAATCCCATCGAAATAGTTTGTATGCCAGTTGGTAATAAAAAAATTGGACAATAAACAAATTTCGCTATTCGTGTGAAACAGTTTATTGTCGTTTCTCTGTGGAAAATTAAAGTGCATATTAAAAGTTTACTGATTAATATTATTATTAATAATTTTAGTACAAAATGTATAATATAATGACGAAACCCTTAAAGAGCACAAACTTGAATGCTGTGAAAATGGAAAGAGTGCATATTCAAAATGCTGCAACTGCAATAACAACAGACAGAAGCTTAGTCAGTGCATTCAAGCTAAACTGCATAAATTACTCTGAACGGTTTTTGCTTATCCAAAGGCCAACTATGCCCAGTAAAACAGTTTATTTTGGTAATATCTGTCTGGGCCAACACCCCGGACACAGTGGTTAATAGCTTTAGTAGAAGTCCCTTTTCCCTTTCTGTTCGCACAACACACACACACCTCCGAGCCTTGGAAAGTCCTGCAGCAGACACTCAAAACACGTCCAATCAGCCGGACCATCAGTTGCTGTTGCTGCTGCACCAAGTTGCGTGTTGCTGCTGTGTGCATGTGTTGCTATTGTTGCCATTGTTGCTGCTGTTGCTGCTGCTGCTGCTGTTGCTGCTGTTGGGAGGACACATTGTCAGGATGGCAGCGTTCAGCTGACAACACGCCTATCAAATTAAGCAAAAACAAAATTGCATTAGGTCGCCAAAGTTGCAAGCAGTGCACAAAAGCATGGGGTGTGGCATGTCGTCAGCGCGCCACCAAAATTATTCATTGCACAATGCGGTCCAGACAATTTATGCTAATCAACATCAATCGATTTGCATCCCGTGCCCCGGCCTGGGCCTGTTTTGTCCTGTTCTATCCATGTCCTACCCTGTCCTTTTCCGTCCTTTCCTGTCCTTTCCTGTCCTATCCTGTCCAAAAGGATAAACGACGTGCACCCTAGCCACTGGAGCCATCGTCCTGTTTATTGGGCGGTTCCGATGGCTGCGGTTCACTGGCAGCCTCTGGCTTCCACAGTGGCTCCTCGACATATCGCACATCGACAGCCAAAGTGGACAATCACTGCATGTGGCTGATTGCTTATGTATATGTGGAGTGGGCGTGGCGGGTGGGCAGACGTACACTGTTGCCATCTATAGAGATCGGATTTTTGGACTGGGGTGATGGTGCCTGCGGCAGCAATAATTTCATAATGTTTATAAAAAGGGAATAAACAGAATCCCAGACGATGTGGAAGGGGAAAGGTTTTGAAAGTGGTGGACAGATCCTATGCATGGGGAAAAAGTGTGAGTGGGAAATTCTGGTGATTTCGTTAGGTTCGATTTACTGCACTCGGTTAATTCCATTGTCTAGTTTTTGTTGTATCAAATAACTTAAGTTTAGGTTCGTAGTTTTTAAATACATTGTATTTTGTATGGTTTTTTAATAAATTTTACATATGTACATACATCGTAAATATTTCGTAAAATACAATTTTTGAAAAAAAGACGAAACCGGATTTCGAAAAAAAAATACAATAGTTCTAAAAAAAAATTTATAAATTGACGTTTTTATAAAAATACAACTGAAAAATCCTTTAATTTTTAATTGTTTTTGTTGTTCAAAACCTTGTTTGTTAATTAATACAATTCTTTATAACAGCTAAGTTTTCATCGTCAAACAACAGTTTTAAGTTTTTGTCTTTTGTTTATCAATCCAATATGGAGATTTATAACCATTTAAAAATACATATATCTTATGGCATGTCAGGCTTACTTTCATTAACTCTTTTTATAAAAACCACTTCATATGCATGGTAAAATCAAAGTGCTCGCTCATCTCGCTTATGAAGTAGCTGAATCATACTAGGCTGACCGCGCCCATCTGCCCATTTTGAATGGCATGTAGCGACACTTAACCCAACCGCCCACCAATAATAATCAACCCTTTCGCCACCCACAATCACCCACAATCCAACAACACCCACCGCGATGTCCGGTCGTCCGTTTTGGTCCTTGCAACGCAGTTTATAGTCGGCGCTTAGGCACACATGTTGTCATCATTGCCATCGCCATGGCCATCATCATCAACATGAGAGTGTGCAGTGCTGTAGTGGTGTAGTGGTGTAGTGGGTAGGGGAGTGTGTGGGATGCATGCTGTTTTGGTGGTCATAGTTGACCCCCAGTTGAGCATGCTCATGAATTTGGGCTGTATGGCAAATGAAGTCGAGCCCCAGCTGGAACCACGAGAAGCGAGAAAAAAGAGACTGCAAATTTACTCAATTTTCCCCTAGTCGTGTGTGTATGTGTGTGTATGTGTTAGTGGGTGGTTTGAAAATTTTTGTAAATTTTGTTTGCCAAATTGTGTGGGTGTGTATGTGCTTGGGTGTGGGTGTGGGTGTGTGCGGGCAATTTTGTAATTGTTGGACATTTGTCATGGCTGCAAAAATTGGGCCACAATCAGAGCTATGGAACGAAAGGGAGAGTATGCAATCACAGCTCTGATTTCCCAATTTGTTCTTACATTTTCTACAAACTGTCACAGAAAACTATGACCAAATAAAAAATTGAATTTTCTTAGAAGAAATACTTGTGTTTGTTATAAAAAAAAAGAATTGACAGTATTATCCTAATTTTCGGACTCTGGCAAGCTGAGTTAACCTGTAACGCGAATTCTTTAGCATAGCATAATCACAAACAGAAGTGGCCAGAAATAAGAGATCCATGATATTTTGTTGCTGATTCCAGGGGGTGAATCGTAGGTGCAATTAGGTAAATCATGGTATGCTTTGTAATTTGCCACAGGCAAAACGCACTGAGCCACTGACAGGCAAATTGCGTTCATGGCTTCAGAAGAACGGACGGCGGAGCTTCCTGCAAGGACAGAAAGTTTCGGCAATGAACTTCCCCGGCTCTACGGCTTAACACATCCGGTCGGAGATGGAGCTCAGGTGTGCTCTGCACAGACAGAAAAATAAATTTATAAACACAGCAAACTTACACTTAACTTACATTTTTTATATTTTTAATAAAACATTTGCATGGTCATATGACTCTTCAAATATTTATAGAAATCTTATTGAAAAGTAATCATATTTAAAAGAGATTTACTTTAAAACAATAGGCTTTTAAATATGTAAATGTTTGCAAGAATGTTGGTTATAAGTATGTCATTTAATAACTTATAGAACCTCAAACTTAAAGCCTTTCTTTAACCCTTTCGACCCCAACTTTTTCCCTGTCGAAAAAAAAATATTTTTTTTTTGTATTCTGTTTGTATTGGGCCAAGCAGTATTTGAGTAAAGTTTGAACTCCCCACCCCCACTAGTTTAGGCGCTACCGGATGTTGCTTGTGGGCAACGTTGGGCCATAGTGTATATTAAAGAATACATTTTTAGTTGATGGTTATTTTTGTTTATTTTCAATTTTTAAGTATGGTAAGACATAAAACAGTTTTTATTGTTGTTACAGCATAGGTGTACTTTACATTTAATACATTTTGACATTGGGGTTCCTGTCTTACACAGTCTGCAACGCCCTTTTTCAGTAAATACCACCCAATGTTCCATGCAATCGTAACGCATAGAATTTGTAGGATTTGGCTGAAACTTGTATTTTTTGGATTGATTGGAAGACACACTGCTAGTTGGAGAACCCAAAGATATTATTGAGTTTTCTCTTTGCATATTTGATGGCCGACCCCTCTTTTTTCAAATGAAGTAGAGTAAGTACATTGTAGCAGCTCATGAGCAACTTCCATTTGAAATTTGATGAGCGGTATATACTTTTGATTTGGGTTTAGAAAATGAAAATTTTTTCTATACAGCAGCCATGCATTTGTCATTGATGTTCCCAAGCACCAATAAAAAATTCTAATGTACCACTTTCTTGAACGGTGGTTTATTTTATATAGCTCCATAAGCATGTCCGCTAAGTCTACTCCTCCCATACCCTTGTTATAAGAGCCTACGATAGCAGGCCTTACAACATCAATGTAAACTTTTTCTTTAAGACTCCATCGTTTGCACATTCCAACTGGCTGATGGTCTTCATACGAAGATAGTAGTTGAACCGACTTATTATCAAACCATTTGACGCATATCAGATTATTGTTTACTTCATATTTTGTATCAAATGATCCTCTTCCACGTTTTTTCAATTCTGCATCTGAAAGAAGTCTACAGCTGCTTATGCGGCAAGTTTGGGCAAGTGCCTTCGCCAACATACAGTGTGAAGTCATAAACTAATCCAGATGTTCCAGCGCGCGTAAACATTTTTAAACCCCATTTGTGAGGCTTAGCTGGGTTGTATTGCTTATAAGACGATTGGCCTGACAAAAAATTAAAATTGAATTAAAATTAAAATTAAATTTTAATAAAATTTAAATCTGAATACCTTTGTACGCAATGATTTGCTCATCAACGCTTTGATGTTCTTCTTGGGGTAGTTTACCAAAACTTTTTTTGAGAATGTCAAGTAAAGGGCGTATTTTGTACAGTTTATCATAGTTCAAATCACCTTTTTTTAGTTGTTTTGTATTATCGTTGAAATGTAAACATTGTTTGATTTTATCAAACTTTCCTCGTGGCATTGCATCCGATATAGCAGAAAGCTTGTATTCTTTTGACCAAGCCATTTTAAATTGAGGTACTTTTATGACACCCAAGTACAATAAAATTCCGATATACCTTTTTATTTGATCTCCAGTACATTGCAGCTCTATGCCGTGCTCTTGCAACCCATACAAATTAGTTTGATTTGTAATTAAATCAATAACATTATTGTCAAAAAAGCTGCAGAAATACTCTACAGGGGTCTTCACTTCATCGATTTGGCGATTACTATCTTCTTCCCAAATACACCCTGGAGCTTGAAATGGCCTATTTCTCCACTTAAGTGTTTTGGGATCAACTTTTTCAAAGCAATTATCAGCCACAACACTATTTTCTTGAATGCTTTTTTCATCAATCAAATTTTCAATATGCTCAAATTCTATTGATTCTCCCCTTTCCAATATACTTTTTAAATTATTCTCCAACATTCCAGAGATGTCTTCCATTTCATCACCACTTTCTTCGTCACTGGAGACATCCCAATCGAAGTTGACAATTCTCTCAATATCATCATTTGATAAACCTTTTTCTTTTGGTCTCATATTTTGGTGGTGCAATGGCCCAAGGTTGCTCACAAGCAACTTTATTACTTTGAAAATTCCTCAGCTGTTTTTTAATAGAAATCAATTAGATTGAACTACAACATGCATTAAAGAATTCATTTATTAACAAATTTCACTCACATTCTTCAACTTTTAATGCGTAATTAAAAAGTAAATCACTTTCTTTTCAATATACCTCACAATACAACAATCACTTTTTACGCGAGGCACGTCCAGCACATTCCAAATAATTTCGTCAAATGATGCGCAAACTAGAATTTTTTTGCTTACATTCTAAGTATACACATCAAAGCACCGTTATCTCGAAGAATAAGCAGACAAAAACAAAAGCACCGACTACCGATAGCCGTTAAACTTTTGAAATTGCTCACAGGCAACTTCGGGGTCGAATGGGTTAAATACTTTCTTTCTGTGTAGATTTCGCAGACCAGCGATGGCAGTGTGCATGCATGAGCTTTTACAAAGCCTGTGCTCCGCATTGTCCTTGCTTAATTGTCTGCAAGGACAACGGGAGCCGGAGTTCGAAGTGGACTTGGAGTTGGAGTCAGAGTTGTGGGCTTCGTTGCCTAGGCAGGTTGACAACAAGAAGTGCCGTCCTGCGGCTTCCCCAGCACAGCAGTTGCATAATTCTCGACCTCGTCTTCGGCTCACATCCTCTTTTCGCCCCACCTGCGAATAACTCGCAGTAGAACCCATAGTTGAAGGTACACATGTTCGCATGTCCTGACATCTACCGGCATCTCTACTAGAATCTCCAGACATCTCCGGCAGCAGCAGCAGCAGCAGCAGTAGCAGCAGTTGCAACTTCATTTGTGCTCGGCCAACTTGGCAAAACTTTCGAGTGTAAATAATTGCCGGGCACTCGGTGTGTTCAGTGTGTTTTTGCAAAGAGCTCTCCGGCCAGAAAAGAAAAGAAACTCAACCGCAAAAATTTGCTACTGGCTTGGGATGCTCGGCATTTATGGTTATTTATGTGCTCTATGGGGATTTTATGTGATATCGCTCCCATTCTCTCGAAAATGTAACCATTAGCTGCAGCTCCAATTAGTTGCTGTTGAGGATAAGTGTTATCCTTCGGAGTAAGGCGACATCCGCCGATTAATCAGACCTCTGACAAAACGTTTTGTCCACCAGTCCACCAAAAGTATGTGCCTCAGATAGTTCTTTCAACCCCATTGGAGGATGACCTTTTGTAGTTTTCTTTTGTTAATAAATACCTTCAATTAAAAAATAAGCTACTTATTTTTGTTTATCAGTATTTAAAAACTTAAAGTTTTATTACTTATTTATTTGTTATATAATTTAATTTTTGTGTTTTTAGCATTGTGCTACTAAAGTCGCTTATCTTTTATACTTCTAATTATTTTAACTTTATTATTATTTATTTGTTTTCACCATATTAAATAATACTTCTACACCTCTTTCACTAGACTTTTACCTACTACAACAACCCTCACCATTTCATGTGATTTCTGATTGCTGTCGGCTAATCGAGATTGAGAAATAGTCGCAGTGGCCAAAGTTTTTCCTCAGGCTTTGGGCCGCTTTTCCGCCATCAATCATTGTAGATGGGGAAAATGGTGGAGAGAAACGAGATTGGGAAATGGAAAAGCAACCAGTTAAGGGGCACCTGCGAGGGTGAACTGTATTAATTGCAAGTAAAATCACTTTGAACTTCATTAAAAAGCCACTTAATCAAGTCAAGTGAAGTTGCGTCTAAGTTTTTGCCACCTGAGATGCGAGCACCGGCATTCTGCTGAATTGCCTAAAAATTATTAATTAGCCGCCACCCTGAGACTCCATAACCCCACCCCACCTACCTACCCATTTTCCGCCTGTTTTTCCAGCCTGGGAAAAGTACCAGCCAAGGGCTAAGAAAAACCGTGCTGCCAGCTCTTAAATATTTCATATTTAATTGCGCGCGTAAGCAGCACATTTATTGCTACAACCAGCCCCCTCGCTTTTTTTTCATCCCCCTTGGGGCACTTACCTGAACCCCCTGCACCACCACCCGTTGAAAATTGGCAACATTAATAAAATTAGACCCGTCTCACCAGGCGAATGCCGCCAGCCCCCCTTTTTGCTATTTTCCATTTACCATTTTTCACTTGATTTGTGCCCCTCGCCGTGGCTCCTTTGTTTTCATAAATGCCCTTTAAAATCTTATTAGCCACGCGCTGATCAAAGAATGGAAAGGTCTTTAAGTGGAGGAGTGCTCGAGGCAAAGTCGAAAAACCTAAATCCAAATCCCGCCAGGTGACGCCAACTTAGCAAACGACACTTTGATGAGGGTTTCGTCCTTGGCAGAGGGAGTCCATTGAATTCAGTTGACTGGCATTCAAGTGGTTGGGGTTTTTGCTTGCTTACATATTCTTAAGGCATTATAATGGCAAAACAATTAGTCGTCTTCGATGGCAAAATGTGTTGAAAATCGCATGGTTGCATTGGGTGGTGTTACTGATTGAAAGTTCTTTTATAAAGATGTTAAATGGTTTAAGCAACGCTTTCACAATTTACTTCGGTTTGATTATTTTAGGCATATGAAAGGTGCTTAAAAACTCAAAATAAATTAATTGAAACGCGAATTTTTTCGCGCACATACAAATCATCTATTAAATCTTTATTAAAAAAAGAAAAATGTATAGTTTCAAAACATAACGCGAATTCTTCAGCACAGGAATAAACTGAATTCCGATTATCTAAAATGATCAGTAAGGGAAATATTTTGTTGAGATACCAAAATGAATGTTTTTATTTTAATTTTCATATCGATGTTCAAAGCTTTTCCCAATAAAGGGATTTGACAGTCATTTGTCTTCTGAAACTTGTGCCAAGTTCATTGAACGCACAGCTCTCCATCCACTTCAATAGGCCTGCCAGTTCTTCAGTTTTCAATTAGGGCTAATCCAATTTAAATTGGTCACAGTGTGAAAGGCTGACCATGGCATCCGTATCCGCATCCGCAATGGGACGGAGCTCTTTTCACACCTCCGCAGACAGGTCCTTTAAGCCCCCGCCCCCCTCTGTCACAGCATGTCAATTTCAATTTGACATTTATTTCATTATGCGTACATAAGGGAGGGGGTTCGATGGGCGGTTTGCTATATGTGTATAATAAGCCGCATTCGTTTATTCCAAAACCGCTTCAATTGTTGCACACTCGATGCATTTGAATACCCATTGACGGCGATCCATCTGTGTGTGTGCGTATGCGGTCTGCAATTTGATGTTGCGTATGCTGGCCGCGTACCGCCTTCCGACCTTTGAACCACCCACTGATTAACCCTCTTCACTGCTAAAAATAAATTTTTAAAAATTTATAAAAACAAAGCTTATATTAATCGTTTTCACAGAAGCTCATAACTGGCTTGTTATTCATAAAACGCAAATTTAGATTTAAAAAAATATACCGTTTATTAACATACAAATTTTGAGACAATTTTAACAAATTTTTTTTAAAAAACTTTAAAACAAATAATTTTAGTTAGTCTAAAAGTACAAAAATATTTTATGTTTTAAATATAATTTTTACCTAAAACTATCTATCATCCGAAAACTTGTTTATGGCTTTGATTTTTGTTGCTTTCAATGTTTATATATTTCTTATATACCAAATTTAAATAATATTAAATTTATTAAAATTATTTTAAATTTGTTGACCATAAAATAATATTTAAAATATCTGTGTCTGAAATGTGCAAAAAAGGTTAATTCAGAATTGTCATATAAATATATTGCAACAGAAATAAGAAATTTTCTCAATAAGAAATTTAAATCTTATTTTATTTGTTTTTTATTGAGAATCACATAATAATTTGTTTTTAAATGCATTTGATTTCATGGTTTTTAATGGTTTACACAAATTTTATAGTATGATATTAGAAATTTCTCACTGATATCAATATTTTTTGTTTTCTGTGTGCCCTACGGCAACATTTTGTGGTTTTCATTGCTGTTTTCGTTGTGGCAGAAATCCTTTTCCGCTGGACACGGAAGTGGGTCCTGCGGGCAGAGGTGTGGGCCTGGGGGGGAGGAGGTATGGATTGGGGTTGTGATTGCGATCGGCGGGGGGTTCGAAAGCAGGGGGGGAATGCACGCACGACTACATTGTCAAAGTTTTGTGTGTCATTATTGTGGCTGTTGGCGGTTGCTCTGTGCCCTCGTCGTGTTCGGCTTTGTGTGCCCCCAGAGTTGCCCGCTTTTCCTCGCCTTTTCCCACCGTTTCCCTTCGTGTTTGTTGTTGCGGGGTTATTAAAAACTTTTACCGCTCGCAAAAGACCCGCCCACAGAGACAACCATCCGTCCGCCCAACCAACAGACCGCTGCAGTTGCTCGTTTTCGTTTTCATTTTGAGTTTCATTGTGAATGTTAATTACTCCAGCGGCGGTGACAACTGCCAAAGCCAGGATCTGTTTTGGTCCAGGTCTAGCGACTGAAACTGCTGTCCGGCACCTCCACTCTTAATGGGCACAGAAAAAAAAGTTGTATGCTAATGTAATTTAATACGTTCTAGTTTATCAATTAACTAAAACAAAAAAAAAAAATCTTCTTCGCTGCCTTTGATTTCCTAATATTTTGTGTATTTCAAATTTGAGTTTAAACCGTAAGTCAAACCAATCTGAAAGCAAACTATAAATCTTTTTTTTTTTATTAATTAGCCATCCAATGTTTATGTAAATTAACAATAAATAAATTTATTGAGCAAGACAATTTGTTTTAGTGAAAAAATATATATTTGAAGTGTTTTTTAAAAGATCATGAAATGGTTTTTCTATCATCTAGTTTTCCAAAATTTTGTATATCCTGTTAATTGAGAAAACTTTTAAATAGTGCTTGCTTTTTTTACGTGTCTTTTTCTTGCACCCATTTTTTGTACTCACTTTTGCTCCCTTTTCTCTGGCTTATAATCAAACTTATTTACTTTATGTGACTTTTATGAGAATTAAGCTGCATGCGGTCACCTCGGTTTGTAGTGGTTGGTGTTTTCGTTTATTCCGATCATGACGATGTTAATGACGCCGTGGATGAGTTGTGGACCAGTTGGGGACCAAGGGAAATTCCATTAATTAGAGATATGGCCCCAAAGTGCCCGCTCAGAATGAGTGCTACACAAAGCAGACAATAGGGTGCTTTTCCCCAGCAAGAAAACACTTTAAACACTCTCTTTTTTTATTTAAGTAAGTTTGGTCTTTTATAGAATATTTTACTTAGTTTTCAAACTATTTATGTATTTTTAAAAATAACCATTGTTATAAATGATGAAAAATATGCCAATGTGGAGCTAAATTTCACCGTATAACTTTACCGATAACTTAAAAAAAAATAAATCACGTAGGAATTACTTCCGGACATCTGGGATGCTAAAACTCTTAGTCTCGTACTAAATCGAAAATTATTTGAATGGGGGGTACCACAAATATTTTGATATGTTGCGTCGCGCTGTCGAGCTGTCAGAAAATTATCCCCGTGTGCCTTTGTCTTGTGTTCATGGTGCACAGAAAAAAAAATGTAAAATGATGAATTTCGTACATTTAAAAAAAAAATTAATTGAGAATTATATTATTTAGTATGATATTTATTTTTATATAAAAAAGTATTCCCGCAGGCTGTACCTATGTTCATAAAAATGATTTCTTTCTGAGCAGGGCTCAAAATATTAATAAAAGTACATCTAAAATAGTAATATCTAGTAATATTTCTTTTTTCAACATTCTGGCTTTGGTTTCCCCTTAATCCCCCTTTCCCCACGAACCATAATATCCCCTCGTTTGACCACAATGTTCTCTTTAAGTTGGGAAACAGTGTCTTTAACCGCTCTAATGTGCTGTATGCTATATGGTATATGGTAACCTTAGCTCCTCCGACATCTTCTTCCGGTCGTAGACGCAGACGTTGCCATTTCCCCGTTCCCCGGTCTCTGGTCTCCGGTCTACGGCCTCACTTCTCCGGACTTCAGACTCCTTTCTCCAAGTACGACGACGACTCATTGTCTTTCGGCGGACTCACGTGCTCACGTACGAAATAATTATAGCGCAAGTACGTGTCCCGCATTTGCAAGCACATGGCTTTCCCTTTGGCATCGCTTTTCCTTTTGGCCCAAGCGGGTCATCAGTTTTGCCACCCAGCCACCCACTTTTCCAGGGCTGGGGAAGAACCATATTATTGGCATATTTTGGCAAAAACCATTTTTAGTCATTTTCCAACCGTTTGTCGGGGTACGCGTGTCCTTCTTTTTATATTTGGACGAAAAAAAATTGGCCCAAAAGTTTTCAGCTTTTTTTTTCGCAGTATTTAGCCCATTCTTTTTGGGCTTTTTTAAGCATTCCCTTTTTCGATGTGAGTTTTTATTATAGAAAAGAGTCCCTGAAAAGTTGGCATCATGTGGTCGTTGTTCTGATTGTTTCCAGACTTTCCTAGAAGACGTTTTCGTTATTACTTTTTAAGATATTACCGCGGCTTTCGGTGGCACTCTGAGTGATATCTTTTTAGTTTCGACCTGTAAGCAAACACTATTTTGTTGACAACGAAAACCTTAAAATTCTTTTATTTGAAAATTATCATTTACCGTCTCACTTTCTTGTAAAAATATTGAAAAAATTGAAAATAATTGTCTTAATTAATGTATAAAGTTGTTAAAAAATTGCAACTGCTTTAGCTCGTAACCTTAAGTAGACGAGTTAAGCTAAGCAATTTACTGCCTTTACTCATCGGCGAGATTAGTGAGGAAGTTGTCACGAGATCTTGGCAGACGGCGAAACTTAAACCAGGAGTTAAACAGGATATTTTGGAAAGGGACGAAAAAGGCACTTCAAGAGGGCGTCGTCACAGCTGTTGCATTCTGGGCCTAAACTGTGCGTCGTCTCCTCCTCAACCACAAAACGCACACGTTCCACGATGTGAAGTCCTGTGATGAGGAGGTGGACAAGATATGGAGGTGCCATAAAAGGGGCGGTGAATGGAGGAAGGGCGTTCCGAACACTCGCAAAAGTTTCCGCCGAAGTCCAACATATGTTGTTCATGCATGCCCGTCGACAACTCCTCCTTTTTCAACGGGGCCCCCTCCCATTCCAAATTCTTTGCCCTGCAGTCACTGAGTTAGTCATACACATGGACAAATAATAGATGACAAAGTTATTAATAATGATATTGATAATTGAGTAAATATAAATATAAATATAAAAATTGTATATAAACAAGCTTTAAGTTTTTAATATACTGAGTGGTGATGTTAAAATAAAAATAGGTATCACAAAATATAAAGTAAACTTAAAGATAAGTTATAAATCGCTATGATACCGATACTTAGTTGTTATAACGTTATTATTATATCGATACGATGTAATAATTAAGACGTTGATTAAATATGACATTTAATACAAGATTTTCAGAAACAAAAAGGAACTATAGTAATTTTACAATACAATTTTACAAACATTTTTCTTCATTATTTTGCAAGCAGATTGATAATACTTCCTAATATTTTCTTTCTTGTTTTAGTGATATATTTTTTAAAGTGCAAAACTTCCACACACACACACATGTTATCATCCAGCACGTGTGAGTGTGTGTGCCACAGTGTGTAATTATAACAAGTTTTCTAGGCAATTTTTCTGTTTTCCTTTTCGTTTTTCGCCCCAGAATTTCTTTTCCCTTCTTTTTTTTTTTTTTTTGGTACCGCTTCTACTGTTGGGTACTGCTCTTCTGTTGGGTATCTGAAGAGCAAGAAATAAGTTTTTGATAAGAAAGTTATGATGAGTTTTCTTCCCTCACACACACACGCACACACACACACTCATATGGCAAGGAGAAAAGATGGTATAGCACATGTACACACAGCTGTTGATTTTGGCCAAATTAGTGCAAACACGTCTTGTTTTGAGTTGTGGCCCATGTGGAACATGTGCAACTAATTTGCAGTTATCAAGAGTTCTGCCTTCGACGGGCTTGAATGGATAAGCTGCCGGTTGGACATTGATTGTGCTCCAATAATCCCATCATAACTGCTACACCCCCATCCGTCCCCATCACCATCACTAATTTGCATTTCCGGTGGTGGCCACAGAAACGGGAGGTGAAAACTTGGTATAAAGTAATATTTTTGGGGCTCAAAATCCCCGCTGGCCTGTCTGCCGACTGTCAAAAGTTTATTTATTTGACACCGAAAAAGTTGACACAGACACCAGGCCGTGGGCGTGACTTTGTGCCTGAATCGGATTTATTTATATGTATACATACATATATATATCTATGTGTAGATGTGCATGTATAGGCCTGCCTGGCCAAAATTGGATTACAATTGAGTTGTAATTATGCGACAACAAAATGCGTTCGTTCAACTGGATGGTATAGTAAGGAAGGGGCGAACCGCCTCTGTTTTCCATGTTGTCGGCAATTTGAGTCGACGAGTCCTGGCGACGTCTTTCGAAATTTCGCATTTTGCATTAATTAAAACTGATTTAATTAAAGCTTGTCGTGTTGCTTTTAAGTATTCCAAGGACCAGCAAGGATGAGAGACAGCAGGACCACTGGCTGGAATAAAACAGAACAGAACTGAACAGCCTACCCCGTCCGTCCAACCGACCAACCGTCCAACTCCCCTGGAAATGATTGAAGCGAAAGACCAAAGTGTTTTCGACTCGTCTCCCCCGTCTTGTCCCCCGTCAAAGCTTCTTTGTCGGCTTTTGAAGAGGTGAAAGTTTAATTAAATATGCATAGAGCGTACACAAGTATGTCTATTACAGGTCCAGATTCGCTCAGAGTCCTTCAATCTGATTGAGCCGGGTTTTTGAAAACAGAATACCGCTGCATTCTTGAAATACCCATACACAATTTAATTATTACCTTGTTTATGTGCTGCGTAACACTTACAAAGGGTATTATAAAATTGATCAGAATGATCGCATGCAACTTGATAAATTTGGTTGTTTTTTAAGTGTCTATCTTTATTTTTATATATTTGATAAAATAATATCGGATGCATGCCTAGACTGCAGGGGTATTATTACATCGGCTTGCCAAAGTTGGCTTCCCCTCTCGTTTTTTTTTTACAATCACAGGTGCTGACTAAAATCCAGTATAGTCGCGACAAAATATTATACCTATTCTATTTCTTTAATGTAAACTTGGTCTGTAAGAAAAAAAACATACAACTTAAAATACTTAAAATATAGCTTTAAAAAAAAATTGTTACTTAAAATAGTAAGTAAGACTTGCTTTACATTAAATAAGTAAACATTTTTTTTTTTATACAGTTAGCAAAAATAAAATTTTTTTTGGTTTTTTATAAATTGGTTTTTTATGCTTAGCAAATAATCTGTTTTATATATATTTGAGATGTGATGTGTTGATAATATCAGTTTCCTAGTAATCTTTTTGATCAGACGTGCCTTGTCGGCAGGCTGTCAGTAAAATTATAAACATTCGACACTTATCACTGGCTGAAGTCTCTTACGATCGAAATTCCGGTTAGCAAGACAAGTTCAAAAATTAAAATATTCCGAAAAAACTTTTTGTACAATAAAATTAACAAAAATTCACCCAAAACCGAGAAGCATCAAGATGAATCCGTTTCGTGCACGTATCGGCGCCAATCATCGCGGTCACTTGGTTCAGGATTTGGACTTGGATCTGATCAGGTCGTTGGAGCGATCGGTGGAACGCCGGCGGATGCGCCGACTACTGCTGGACCGCCAGTTGAACAACTCTCTGTTGCTGTGCGCCGGTGATGGTATCTACGTGGGGAGTTGGCAGGAACCCCCAACGCCCACCGGTCAAATGGGTCAAGGCGATGGCAATGTGCATGGATATGACGAAAATATTGTTGTGGCACCACCGCCGCCGGCACTACCTCCTCGTACGATCTAGAATTCTGTGTGCCGCCTCCTGTGTGTCTGGTGTCCGTTTTCTCATAAATCGATCACGAAACATCAGTTAAACATTACATAGAAGTACCCACACATATATACTCGAATCCGAAGCCTGTCCAGACGCATGGTCTCTTATTATTATATGCCATCTCTACCCCCCAAAAATAATTTCTGGGGAGGATATCCTGGGGATCGGACGACACGCCGTGGTGCACGCATATAATAATTTCCTGTTCAATGAGCAATTATCGTAATAAAGATACAACTCGGCTACTCCATAGTATATAATATAAAAATGGATACGCGGATGTGACAATGGGGCGATGCTGATGACAACGATGCTGATGATGATGATGATGATGACTCGTCTGTTCTGTGCCGTTCTGTTCTGCTCTTCAGTGCTCTGCTCTGATGTGACGGATAAAGCCCGAGTTCAAGTCTGATTCCCGTCTGTCATTTTGTCCGTGCGGTTAAGGGTTGACGGGGGCGTGACGACGAACAGACGGAAGTGCCGCCACGGAAAGTTGATTGAACTGCACTAGTTTGCCATCCCCCAAAATGGCTGGCATGCAATTTACTCATTACTTTATATACATACTTTACAGGGGGCATTAAAATTCACTTCTTTTCTGACTTTTAGATTGATAGATTCACCAAAGATTTTATGAGTCTTTATTATTCACCAATAAATTACCCAGAGAGGTTAATAAATTTTACACAAAACAATTTTGTGGCTTATTAACCAACAGATCTAATTCACTTTTCAGTGAACTCATAAATTAATTTAGTATAGTAATATATTATATTTATTACAAATGAGTTCAACAATAAATTCAGCATTGAAATTATAAATAAATTACCATTGCCTAAACTTTACTAACAATTAAATAATTTTGACAAATAACTAATATAGAACTGAGTTAACCACTCAAATTTGTAAATAGTTTTCCTATTCAGTTAATCAATGCTCTTCTGAAGATTTACCAAAAAAAATATTTATATAATGCAATTTTTTTTCGTTACATTTAATTCTAGAATGGAAACCAAAATAATACCATGATCAATTCGCTTACATTCACCAATTAATTTATGAGTATTAAATGTTAAAGGCCCAGGTGCCATGTTATCTTTGCTAGAAGCAAATCTTATTTGGCTGCCAAATGAAACAGATTTTACCCTCTCAGTTTCAACATTTGCATAATCAAAGCAAGATTTGAGAGCAGCCATAGGAGCATAGGAGCAATTGGTCTGCACTGGGTGTTTGACTTTCGTTATGGCCATCTAGCAGCTTTAGGACTTCCCAATCAGTAAGGCCAACTTGCCAGACGTCGAGTGTATCAATTCGGAAGCTGCCTTTCCTCCTTTTTTTTTATACTCGCCATTAGCAGGCAATGTCGAGCTGTCAGACAGTCCATAGCCTTTTTCGATGGGGCTTCGTTCGGGATGGTCCTTTGTTTTGTTCATTGAGAGAACATTTTATTGCTTTATGCGTTTAATGAAGTGTTGCTGCTGGGTGGTGCACAGGAAGAAATTATAATTGCCCTTAATAGTTCGCCTCAGATATAAGATAAATATTGTTAAAATTCAATAAAATTATTGAAAATATAATTTTGATAACGCATTTCAATAGTAAAGAAGAATTTATAAATCTGATATCGAAGTTGTGCCTATGATTATAATTAGGAACCGTCATAATTGTCAGATAAGCTATGCTACAAAAATCATATTTTTAAGCCGTTTTCAAAAATATACAAACGATCCTAATATATGTTTGACCTGCGAATATTTAAATACCTTCAAATCTTGTAGACATAAACACATCTTTTAAAAAATGTACGAAGATGAGTAAAGCCTTTTCTTTGTTAATTTTTAAAATATACCCTGGACCTGTTATTTTTCTCTTTGTGGAGGCACTCAAAATCCACGACCCTTGGGACACAGACAGCAACCCTTCGCTTTCACTTTTTGAACCGGGCTCCAAGACAGGAGCCAGGCAGCATATCAAACATTTCTGACAGCCTATGACGTCTGCCGGAGGAGTGACTGCCTCTTTGACTCATTCACTGACTGTCTGACTGACTGGCTGACTGACTGACTGATTGACTGATTGATGAACCGTCAACTGGCTGCCTTGGAAACCAAGACCGGTGTCACTCACTCACCCACGAAGCTCGCATGTAATGCATAAAGAATGAAGCTTAAATAAAAGTTGGGAGATGAGAAATAGGATTAACTTGTCACACAATTGAATTTAATTTTCATACACAACGAGGGCGGGCGAAAAAGCATCTGGAAAACCCGTCCAGACATTGCCCCCCCCGTCTCACTTCGGGGAATATATATATATATGGAGTTCGAGTCGACTCGAAAAATGCTTTTGTGGTAATCCCGCACCGAAGCCGATTCGGGACTTTCGTAATGAAATTACACGAGCCTCAGATTTGTCAAAGCAATCAATAGACCCGGATGTGCAACCTTCGTTTGAATGGACTGCTATTGCTGTTCGATGGGCTGAGATCTTTGATGAGTCTGTGCCATTGAGCTCACTTTGGGAATAGTCGGTCGAAAATAGCCAACAGAAAAGGTATATTCAAAAAGAGGTACAAAAGAGTTTTTTGCATTGCTCTGTAGCAGAGTTTATGGGGCATGAAAAACCTTTCTTAACGTTAATAAAAGCGGTCAGGATAAGCCATATTTTCAACGCCATTTGAAAACGCACCATAAGCGAAAAATTATTTTAAAATCAACTAATTTTTATTTCCTACAGTCGTATCAGGAAATGCTATAATTATATGTTATAAATAAAATTTAAAAACAGGTACAAAAAAAAAAAAATGTTATAGACAAAAGCAGTGGTATTTTTTTTTTTAAACCATTTCTCTCAAACCATTCGCACCCTAGATCGAAGGTTCCTTTGACAATTCCCCATTCGCTTTTCATTATGCACATCATCCATCAATTAATTGACTGCACTCCATCGCTTCATTGCGTATGCCGCTCACATGCCGCTTGTATCTTTGATTAGCGAAAACAAAAGCGAAAGAGTGACGGGAGTTCATTAAATGTCACACAAATGTGCCAAATGGAAGGATGTACGCAAGTGGGTGGAGGTGGGAGGTTATAGGGTAGTGGGTGGTGGGTGGTGCACCCCACATTCTATCCATATGCTAGCACTCACCACTTCGCTCCTTTGGTCCGTTCAACTTAATTAAATAGCAACAGATTCGAGGGTGCGGAATCCTTTCAACCCAGAAGTTAGCCAACAATCACATCCTCACTTTCGTACACCCAGAAAAAAGTGCATTATATATATATATATATATATGTATGCCAAGTGTCTATTTTACTTTAATTAACAAATACTATTTAAATTTAAAAAAAAACTAAGATAAGAAAAACAGTAAACTAATACCCTTTAGGATTTTAATTTAAATTCAAAATATTCAGTATTTGATATCGTAGATCTTACGTTGATTAAATTGAAAAGTTAATGCCAACTGCAGTAATTGAAGTCTTTTAGCAGAAAATGTTTCCATTTGTGTACCGCTAAATGTACTGCCACCTTTGAGAGCATTCCTCCTTTTTTCGCGGTGCAAACCGTCAATATCACCGTGGTGCACATAAAAGTTTCTAATCCATTTGCCCGATACTTATGCACGCCTGCACTCGAGGGATTAATAAGTGTGGCTGCTTGTAGTGCCACCCCAACTCGCTGGCTCTTTCCTCCTTTTGCCGAGCTACCATATATCCATCTTGCCGAATCGGATGGTTTGTTTCAACCACCGCCAATCGCTCGACTTTGCAGCCAAATCAATTTCAACTGTCAACTGTCAATCAGGTCGCAATTCAATCACGCAACGTCCTCGGAGAGAGTGTTGCTTTTCTCCTTCTGCGACAGCGACGACGACGAAGAAGACAAACTTTAAGAAGAATCAAACCGAGCCCGAAGAAAGTATACTATACACCATAGCACACCACACCACATTTCCCTGAATTATTCAAAGGCATCGAACGGAAACCCCAGCCCACAAAGCAGCCTGTGTGTTATTAATGTTTTTTGACTCCGAAAGGCGGCGAGGCGAGTCACGACCAAGAGTCACAAACATTTGTTCAAGAGAGTTTTATGAATTACATCGTTAGACGCCAGAAGAAGGGGGTGTTGTACACAGATTTTTATTGGTATTATTGCCATTTACAACTCGGCACCCGTTACGTTTTGACCCGGCCCTCTGCATATGCATTACTTACCCGTAGTTGCTGCCCAAAGAACCCAATCGCTAAACCAAGCTGGATCAGAAGCCCTGGTAAATTTCGCAGTCAAGACACATGTCACGTATTTTGCTCGTAATTATGGCAAACGTGAGAAATTTCGTTAAGATTTTCTTAACACATTTTCTTGTGCATTTATACAAACATACATACCCTCGCATCTATGTATATACAAAGTGTGTGCTTTTTGCTCGGGCAGTGGCATAATTTTAGGCATTTTGGCTCAGTCGTGTGCTGTACAGTCACCATAAGCATGTGGTGACCTTACAAAGCACGAGCTATAAAAATAATGCCCCATGAGAGATCTAGGTTTAATTTGCCACCCAAGACGCTCATTAGTTCAAAAGTCACTTCAAAGGTTTAGCTTTAAATCCCAATTGGTTTTGTGAAACCAATTAGTATTTTAAAATAAGTAATAATCAGTCGTGAGTAATATTAGTTATATTTGAGTATAAGCACAGATATGAGAGATGATTAAGTACAAATATTATTTATATTTATTGTTGTCGGAAAATTTTATTCACAAAGAATCTTAAATCGTGTAAATATTATTTATTTAATGTGAAAACATGTTTATTAATTGGCAACACACTCTTTTCTATTTTATTGTACACTGATTGATATTAATCCTATTTTTTGGCTGAAAGTTCCTGCAACTGTTTAACTAATAAGATTATCAGTTCCTGAACCTTGGCCACAAAATCCTTGATAAGCTGCCTTTTCGACGTCGCTGTTTCCGTCATATTTAGAGTCTGACTGGGCAGACTCCAGGCCACTGTCACCATCACTGTTTTGGATACAATGTTAAAGCTTAGCGTTTTCTTGGCTAGCTGGTAAAAAGAGGAAATAACTTACGGCAAAGCAGGGCAACGAGCAATACTTTTTGGTTGGACATACTCGAGATGAGAACTGTGCCTTTCTAAGGGCATGCACCCTACATAAATAGTTCAAAATTTGGTCCTACGTGGTCTTCAGCGCGTCGACTGCTCACGTAACTGAGATTAATTTTGACTTGGGTTTTGGTTTATGGAAGGCTTAGCCATTTCATCGGCTTAAGTTAAGGGTTAGGTACTATTTTATTTGTACTAGTAAAGCTGTCATGGAAATAACCCATAATGTAAGACTGCAATTTTCAAAATATATTACTAAGAAATTTCATTTAAATATTTTTTAGCTCTGAAATATTAATAGTGTTTGTATTCCAATTTATGGTATCAAATATCAAAAGAAAGAATTTGAATTTTTAAAATTCTTTGTTTATAACAAAATTGAAATAATTTAAAGTTTTATGCATCAATTTGAAAAATTCCAATCTTAATATAGTTAACATTGTTAGTTGAAAAACGAATTTAAATAATAATATTTAAAAAATAAAGAAGCCTGCGTAATGGTTACCCGTTTCCACTATTTATATACAAGTTTCTGAGGGTCCTGAAATTTCTGAAGTCATACTTTGGCACTTGTTTTACGATGACTTTAAATAAATTTTCGAAAATAATATTTCAATATGCTCAAAACTTTACTTTATTTTCAATTAAAATTTTACAAATCTTCACAAACTAAATATTTATATATGAAACATTGTTAAATTGACATCAAATTGATTTCCGGCTTTAGAGGTGAAGTGGCACTGGTAGTGGTGGTAGTGGTAGTGGTAAATCCGGTTTTGATTTAAGTGGGTTAACATTCTCTACCAATGTTGGGACTGTCTCAACCGCGGCAGCCACTCCACCCATTACTAAGGGCTTAGCTAAGTTTAGTGGATCAGTGATGTCAGGACGAGCCTCAATAGTGCCCAGGTAGCAGGCTGAAATAAGAAATTCAATAAATAAATGTTTACCCCAGGAACCGATACTCGTGATCGAAGGAATACACACCGCACACAATTAGGGCAACGACGATCGATTTGTTGAACATTTTAGCACGGTTTGGATGTATCGACTGCTTGATCCAACTAAATCAACTTCGGTATTTATAGTTCTCGGTCGTAGAACTTTCTGGGCCAAGCGCACGTTTTAGCTATCACTATCTAGAGCGTGCTCTATGATTTATCACGAGCTTGAAATCGTGGTTATATACTAGTAGGGCATACGTCATACCTTTCGCAGTGGATTTATACTTCACCAGAGAAATGCGTTTGCAGAATTCAAATATATTTGTAAATACCTTAAATCTTCAAGAGAGATTTAAGTTGCGACACCTTTTTATAACCGTTATTTGTAAAGTAAATGGATGTATTGTGTTTATAAGTAGAATAAAGCGTTTCTGACCCTATTAAGTACAAATATTTCTGATCTGGGTCAAAAGCCTGCTGTTCATAAATTATATGGTAAATGGTATAACTGAAAGTCCATTCCTCTTCGATCAGATAAGTCAAATTTAATGAAAGTGCTGCTAGGAATGGGTCAATTTTGAGAGCTTTGCGGTTGCTCAACTTAGGCTTAGGCAAGCGATTGGGGAATATTATATAAGAAATATTAAGTTTAGAGTTACAACTTAGTAGCCAGATAAGGATTTAATTCATTGGTGCGATTCTGTCTGTCCGTAAGAACATCAAATTTTGGGATACTATAAGAGCTTAAGAGTAAAGATTAAAGATGCAGATTCTGTATGCAGCTTTTTTCCGGTACAAATGTTGGTAGATAAATGTTTTTGGGAGGTATATAAATTTATAATCGATTTTTCGAAGTAAGCAGTAATTTCTAGAAAAAATATTAATGATTAATGCCGTCAGCTGGAAGATAAAATATACCTTAGGGGCAGATTGCTGCCCCAATAAAATTGCATGTGGGCACTTTTCTTATAAAATTGGTTTACACTAAATTTTAGCTTTTTGCTAAAGTCTTAAAACTTATAACCATTAATAAGAAAAAACATTAAGCTTATACAATGTTGTATATTTATATAAGTCTTATTGCCAGGATGAACATATATTCTTTTTCCCAACTGCAACCAGAGAAATGCTAAATGTAAAATATATTATTTCATAAACACAACTAAAAACTTATTTATGACAACTTCGTTGGGTGCTCTTCCCTGTTTTTGTTTTAACTTTTAACTTTTTTGCACTTGCATTCTGTTTTAGCAAATTGCTTTCATAATAATTCGCTATTCGTTTCTTGTCACGTTCCAGCTCAATAATTAGCATATTCAGCTTTTCAAGAGGGGGTGGTGATGGAATGACATGTAAATACATAATTAAAATTCTGTGTTTTTTTAACATCAACAATTAAACCAATTCCATTGCATTCGTCGCTTGTTATCAGAGCTAATCGGATGCCGTAATTTCTGTGTAAATCTCGTTCGATTTTTCCATCGCTTCATCATTTTCTTGAATCACTTTTTATTTTCCATAACTGAATGAAATTGGTTTAACAATTGACGATTGCTGGCTTGTCGCCTTATTAGCAATAACAGTTTTATTTGAAATTTGGATTGTTCAGTGATAATTTAAGTTGAGTACATAAAAATAGTGTCTAAAAACAAAGAATTAATAATATTAAAAAATGTACCAATCAATATTTTTTAAAGTTCTTATACAATTTTGTATTTAAAATCTTGAGATAAAAACTCAAGATAAATGCATATATTTTTTTAATTTGAATGAATACGGTATTTTAATAATATTAAATGTGATCTTTGAAACTAAATCTAAAATTTAAAATTAGATTCTATAAAAACCATTATATAACTTTAAATAAGTATATATCAGAATTTGGGTCTGGTCCAGTTTACTTTTATTGTTTAAATAAACAATAAACGTTTTATGGAATAAAAGCTGCAAAAGTGCTGGATATGTAAGGACAGAAATTGTTCTCTTTATTAAATCTGTTTGAAAAAATGTATTATATTTACATAAAAAGTACATTATTTCTTTAAAACTACATTGCTTTAATTTATTTATTTGCAATCGTTTTATTAATGAACACATTTAAACGCGTTGTTTTTGTATTGACCACTGCTTTTCGAAGTTGCTTAAGATTACGTGCTCGGTTGTTAATCGAATGCATGTGCCATGCATCCGGTTGGTATGCTCGTAGTACATATTTTAAAGAGTTCAACAAGTGTAAGCTACTTCCGGAATCGGAATTCAGAATCTGAATCTGAAGACATCTTCAATGGCGAAGGGGCGAAAAGTGGAGAATGAATCTGGGGAATGAGAGTAAGAGTGAGTGGCAACAGCTGGCGCATCGAGATTGGAATCGGTTGAAGACGCGATAAGTTAATCGGCAATCGCACGTACATAGCACACGTTTCCGGACGTGGTGCTAGTGTACATCGATATAAAACTGGACCATCTGAGCACTCAGAAAATCAGTTCAATTAGCCAATTTTATAGAGCAGTACGCCCAGTAACAGCAGCAACACCATCGACTAAAGGCTTCAACTCAGGGCTAATTAAGGAAACGGAAAGGAAAGCAGCACGTCGAAAATGCTGCCGTCACGTAAACATTTAATTGCCTTCCTTGTGGTGACAACATTAGGTAATTAGTGGTTGGCTCACATGACTTTATCTTGGATGCTAATTCTTAGTTCATTTCAGTCTGCTTAACAGTGGGACAGGATTCCTCGTTTCAGGCCACGATCACTAGTTCAAACAATCAACTTCAGTCGCCGAATGGAACGAGCTTGAACGAAACCATTACGATTAACATTAGCGAAATAATTGCAGCTGCCGATGCTTTATCAAATGACACAAACATTTCGAGCTCTACAGCTCCAACAGGAACATCAACAACCTCCTTAACGGATTCAACAACAGCACAAGCAGCAATAACCACAACTACAGATACATCCACCAGCACACAATCGACAACAACTACTTTAGCCGAAACAACAACCACAACAAATTCACCAACTACAACAACAACCACACAAACTTCTACAACAACACCACCATCCACTACAACCACACAAACTTCAACAACAACGCCACAATCCACAACAACCACACAAACTTCTCCAACAGCGACTACAGAAACTTCAAGTACAACGCAGCAGTCTACCACAACAGTTCTGGTCACAACAAGTACACTAGCATCCATAACCACACCCCAAACCTCTACAACAATTACTCCGACTTCAACAACAACACCAGAATCTACCCCAAGCACTGCTCAAGTTTCAACGAACACACCGCAAGTCACAACAACACCACTAACCTTAACAACATCAACAACACCGCAATCTACAACAACATCAGCATCACCGCAATCCACGACAACAACCACGCCAAACCCATCAACGACTTCACAATCCACAACAACAACAACACCTCAAATTTCAACAACACCACAATCCACAACTCTACCTTCAACAACACCGCAAATTACCTCCACAACATCAGAATCTATAACAACAACCCCTCAAATATCAACAACAGATCCACAACCAACCACAGCAATAGAACAGACTTCAACAACAGCACAACCTACAACAACAACCAGCACTGAAGTTTTAACAACAACCACTAGCACAACACCACTTGCTTACACCGTTTACACCATGGAGCCATATCCAAATATTTATGGCCGAACAAACCAGAGCAGCCAGACACCACGCAGATTGCGAATGGGTCGCAAAGGACGCAGGGGCAGGAGACCACGTCGTCGCACTACCTTGACACCACTGTCTTCTAGCAGCAGCACCACCACCACAACAACAACAACAACAACAACTGCCAGAACAACAGTGAATGGCGATGATTTTAGCGGGGACTACGACGACATTATCCTAAACTCAAACACTGTGCTTGAACCGTTTCCGCAACTGCCTCTGGAGCTCGGAAATATCGAAAATAACAGAATCCCGAAATAGTGATTCGTTTGCAATATCCTCCAGGAGACTGAACCAAATCTCATCATCAGCTTAGTTGTAACAATTCATATAAATTTAATAAGTGTGTCACAAAATGATGTTTACATTATACTTATATTAGAAAAAGGTATCGTTTTATATCGTAGAAATAACTTTAATAGAAGAAAAAATGTTTTGTTTCTTAAAAGGCTTTATTGTTTAGTTCTTTATTTTTCTAAGTGTAAAATTATAAGACAACTGCCAGACAAATACTTTGATAATCTCGCCAGTCTCCATATCAATGAGCGTGTCGACACCTAGGTTGCAAACAAAGAGCAACAAAATATTTTAAAATGTATGATAATGCCATGCAGTCAAATTATAGCTTATATTAAATACATTACATTGCAAGCTTTAATTCAAAGATATAAGTCTTAAAGTTTCTACTGCAACAAAAACAATTTGAAAATAATAATGCATCACCTTTACTGAAATAAATGCCGTACCATTGTCGGCAGTATATCATTACAGTTTAATTAAACAATTATTAATTGCCTTGTATGCAGAAAGACAAATTATTTTCTCAGTCAATGCTTTTGTGCAGATTGAATATTTTTGCCTTAAGTGTCCATTTCGTGCATTGTATTTCCATGCACAAAATCTCTATTCAACCGAAGAAGATAATTATTTTTGTGTGGCAAAAAGCTCTGACAACTCAACAGCAATACATTCCAATCTGGCGAGCCTCATTAACGAGGCAAGTTAGTGGACGCAAATGGGGTGGGCAAAATGGAAACAGAAACTTCCAACCTGAAAGGAAACCAGGGAGAAACTCATAAAACACAAACGGACAAACAGGCAAATAAACAGTTGGTGTGCAATTAATTTGGCAAACTGTTTGCCCAACACAAACATACACATACACACACACACACACACCCAGTGTAGAGTCAAAGGGGGGGGATCCCCTTCTCTGGTTTCCATGTGCACGAGGCGCACTGAACAAATACAATTTAACTTCCACTTTCAACACATCAGCAAAAACAAGCCAGGCAACACCAGATACCACCACCACCCCCAAGATAATGGTCGAGTCAATTAGCAGCGCCTGCTTTTCGAGTCGCAAGCCATCGCATTAAAATCTTGGCCAACATTGCCAAAGATGCCATTCTCCCCGTCTTTGCTAAATAACTGTCAGACTAATCAAATTGACAGCTGACCAAGGGACAGACTAAATCTTACACTGAGCGAAATCTTGTCTCGAAAATGGAGTATAAAAGCTCTGAAATTGGGCATGCCAGTAAATTAATTAGTAGAAACATTTATTATTTATTATATACTAAAATTGGTTTTGTAAGTTCTTTTAACTTGTAAATTGTTTAAGCGAAACGAAATAAATTATTGCTTACAACAGCTTTTAAGTTTACAGTTTACAGCAAAAACAAAAATTTGATTCTTACCATCAATTTTAACACAAAGTATTTTATACTTAGTATTTACTTTAAGTATTAGGTTCCTAAAGATTATGAAAATATGTCCTGCACTTATTTTGAAGAACAATTTTTTTTTTCTGAGTGAAGGCAGAGCATTGAACCCAGTCGAAGGCCCAGTATCGCTGAAGGCCCAAATATGCCGCAAGCTTGATAGATTGCTCGGCCAAAATGCACGTGCTTATCGCAGCACGTGCTTTCCAGATGCAGTGGCTCGGATTTTCGGGTTATAAGTAGCCAGACCAGCTGGTTGGGACCAAACAGAAACCGAAGAAGAGTCCAAGAACCGAAAGCCAAAAGACAATGCTTAGATTTGGACAACAACTTATGCTGCTGGCGATGGCCTGTTTGGGTGAGTTTTAACAAGGAGCACACACAACATGGGACAATAGCTTATAACACTGTCAAATTTTGGGAAACCATAATAAAAAAAAAACACCCGCAGCTTTGCAAACGGCCCACGGATGGTTTTTGAAAGTGCCCAAGCTGGAGACGCTACTAGAGGCCAAGGAGGACAAGGATGAGGCAAAGCTGGACTGGTTCGACGGCAAAAAGCAGAAGGAGCTGCTCAAGAAGCTGGATATCCTCAATTTGTTCACCGAAAAAGAGGAGGACAAGCTTGAGAAGAAAACGGACGAGTGGGAGAAGTTCAAGCAGTGGTGGGACGAAAAGAAAGAAAAGGAGTTGTCCTTCTTCGAGGCCAAGAAGGAGAAGGAGCTATCACTTTTCGAGACCAAGCTGTCCAAGAAGACTGGCAAAAAGAGCAAACCGAAGAAGAAGACCACAGTGAAGCCTTGCTACGGCTACCACGATGAAACTAACGCTGGCTATTATTCAGAGGAGGAGCAGGAGGTGGTGACCGAAGGCGAGTACGAGGAATCGGAGGAAGTCACCGCAAAACCCTACCGAAAAAGCTACGAACGTAAGAGCTATGACAAGCCCACCTACTCAATGCCCACATTTTACGATATGAGGGACGCTTCGGCGGAGGGCGTACGCTACTTTACCTGAATAAAGGACCAAGCAAATTGGCTCGGATGGATGGACGGATATTTTTATTTATTGCATTTTCTCTGGCCGCCGCCACCGCCGTGTCTCTCTTCACTTTTTACATAATTACATTTTTAATAAATATAATTAAAATTCAAATAGCTCAACGCCTCCACGCATCGGTTTTTGGGCTTGGTTTCAAATTCAGTTTTGGTTTTTTTTTTTTTTTTTTTTTTTGGTATTTGATATTGGGTTTGGGGTTTGTTGTCGCCTGTCTTCAGCCCGCCTCGCATATCATTTGCATATAAATTGAATTCCCCGCTTCAGTTCAGTTCGGTTCGGTTTGGTTTCTTGCCTAGAATTCGTGTAGACAGCCAATATTTTATACATTTTATGTTCACACATTTGGGTGTGAGGTGTGGTGTGCTTTTGTGGTGTGTCTATGTGTGGTTTTGATCCATCATACCGTGTAGCAAAGCAGGCACTAGCTTCTACATCCGCATTCGCGTCCTGTCGGCGACACTTCATCCAAAACTGTCAGCTGGTGGCTCAGTGACACATTGCGCCCATTATTTGCATAAGGGGTGATCGGGTGTCCTTGGACCCGCACAAAGTGGTTTATCCTGTCATTGCTGCCATTACAGGTGAGAATGCAGGGGGGAACCGGGGAAACTTAAGCCGCGAACAGGAAGACAAAAAGTTAAGTAGCGCCCGAGCATGAATTGTATAATCTACGTTATAATTGCTGCTCGGACACCACTTCATTTCTCTTCTTGCTTTCAATTTAAGCTGTCATGTTTACCTAAAATCTATTTTATCGTTGTAGTTTAACCTGCCATGTTTTATTAATTGCTTTGAAATTCGTTTATTCAATAAAAAAAAAATCCATTAAGTCCATTCTATTTTGTATTGTATGTTTCAATTTCATTTCATATTCACAAATTGAAAATGTAAGAATATGATTGTGTAAACATTTGTACGACCTAACACGTACGTTTTTACTTTTCATTGTACTAATGTGGGCAAAAATATAGATTAAAAAACTGAACCATAGTGAGCACTTTCATTTTCGTTCTTTTGTGCATGCAGAATTTTATCAATCCCAGGCAGTTAATTTTTTTGCATTGCTTCAATTTATTCATACACAATATTGCTTGCTTTTAATTACTTTAAGACATATTTTTTTTATTTTTATCAACACCAAAACCTTGATTCTCTTTTAAAAATTGCAAAATTTATTCATCAACTTTAATTTAAATTCACTCTATTATTTTCTGAATTTGTGAATCATAAACCTAGCATTGAATTATGCTCTCAATGCATATGGAATATATCATTAATATATATTTAAATTGTTCCCATTCGAAGACCCACATGTCAGTCACACAGTTGTGAAAGTTCGTATACCATAAATGTACATATATTCGGAATTTTCGCTGCATTGACATGAAAATGCTTTTTCAGCTGTCAATGGGAACATTTGGCGGGGTTTTGGAGAACCTATTGCAACATTTGCGAAACCCAAAAATTGCGGAGTATTCACACACATACATCCTCCTTACTAACAGCTAATGGTAATCATAATAATAATTCGAGTTTTGTTTGTTTTTTGCTGCCGATGCTGAGGCAGCAAACATTTTCAGGCCAAAAGCATTTCATGGTTTGTAAGCACTCACCTCTCTCTGTTCGTGTAAGTGTGTATCTGTGTGTGAATTTACATCTGTGTGAGGGCAGATGGTAGTGTGTGTGTGTGTGTGTCAGTGCGTGTTTGCACGGGCTGATTCACCTCGGAAATTTTGTGCCATCCCACGAATGTTGATTTGCCCATTGAGTCGTGGCATCAAGTGCAATTAAAAATCCATTGCATACTTTCCGGTGCCACTCGGTTTCACATCGATAGCTGGACTATCGGTCAATCGATTCACTGAACACTTTCTGCATATTTTGAGGGATTTTCCAAGATGAATTTTAATGGGAGACGTCATTTTTATAGAAATAATATCCACCTTTAAACATTTTAAATCTCTTCATGCTTAAGAAAGAAACAACGTTTACCACAAATCATAGCCCTCTAAGTTTAACAATTAAAAAATGTTTCTTTAAAACAATTTTATTAATTCATTAATTATTTGGAAATTTTATTTTAAAACTTATGTTGTATAAGTGTAGAGGAAAAAATAGTCAGCCTATCTTTATTTCGATTTGCGATTATAGAGTCGACATATACTTCAATAGCCAAACCTTGGAGCCATCGATTGACCAGATTTATTGGGGGGTTGTCTTCGGAGAGTTTTTCCTGTCCCATAGATAATCATTGAACGGGGTGGAGAGGAGGGAAAACTATTATTATTATTTTCGAATTGCGATTATCGGGTGGCACTCCTCTGGGAACTGACTTTGGCCAGAGGTCTGAACTTCAGCGGTCAGTTCTTGTAATTGCAGTGGACAAAAAGAAGAGACAAACTTTGTTTATCCGTTTCAAGAAAAGTTTTCTTTTTGGTTTTCCTACCCCCCAGTACTCCTTTTGATAGCCCAATTTCTTTCATTGCCCGCCACAGTTACAGTTCAGCGGCGAGGGGGTCAATCTTGTTAATTTCAGCTCTGCGGATGAAGCAGACACTTGCCCCGGCCCCAAAAAGTCAACTCCCCGCCCGATTGTATATATTGTATTTGCCCAACCATTTGTCTGTCTGTATGTCTATCCGCCTGCTTTTTGGGGTTATGCACGCATCGGGTGGGTTTCTTTTTTTCTTTGGGGTTTTTTGTTTCCTCTATTTGGGGGCATGGGGCTTTCCGTAATCGCAATTAAGATAATCAAAAAAGTTTTGACAGTGGACTGTCAGAGCTACGGAGGCTTCGTTTTTACTTTCGTCCCAGTCCGCAAAGTTTTTCCTTTCGTCTAACAGTTCAACTTCTTTAACTTGAACTTGTTTTCGCCACGTAAGAATCCCTTCTTGTCGAGACTTGAAGTTGCAGTACAGACTGTGCAACGCTTTGATCGTAAAGGCAAATATGTACCCTGCGAAAGATCTACTCACACAAGAGTTCAATAGTGATAGGATCCCAAAACTAATATGGTATTTATTAATTTTTCTCGCATTATCCGGCTTAAAGGACCAAAATGCTTGCAGGAGAATTTCTGTTCGACTTACATTTTTTTAAAATAAATTAATTAATGTTTGTTTACAATTGGGCTAAGCTGCAAAATATTCGGCCTATCAGATACCAACTGTACCTATGTTTTCGATTTTCTTATGTTACCGCAGTTGTTGATGCTTTCTTTTTTGCTTTTGGTACGCCGCAATATATGCTGCAAGTTTTTGCTTCCATTTGGTTCTACGATTCCAAGTGCAAGAGCAAGAGCAAAAGCAAGATGATATCAACTTTTTGCTGTGGTCAAGACGGTTTTGGTAAACTTTTCAGGGTTGCCGAACTAGAGTTTTTGCCAATGCATACTTTGCGGCTATTATTTCAGGCCTTTTTTTATTTGAGCTGCGAAGCTAAAGTTGATGTTGAGCTGAGAGGCCTGCAGTTGAAGTAAAAGTTTTATTGCCTTTGGATGAACGGAAATTGCTTTCCAGTTTATGAAGACGATGACGCTGATGCTAGTGCACTTCCCACCATTTCCGTAACGATTCCTAATCCAATCACATCAAGCGCGGATTAAAGCAGGTGGAAATCGCCACGGAAACGCCCTTTAGTTGGCCAAACAAAGCAACATCCGATGTGTGTGCGGATGTGTATGAGGATGTAACCGGATGTGCCGAGTAGTGGGGAAAAGGGAAAGTTTTAGGAGGAGCTGTGGAGGATGCTTTCGACCCAACTCAAAGGGCAACAGAAACCAGAGAGCCGTCGAGACAATCCACAGACAGGCAGACAAAAAGAGGGAAGGAGTTTCCAAGTGTTTTGATGGCTTTCATGGCTCTAGAGCCTCAACACCCCCAAAAATCAAATTAGAAACTAAGGAAACTGAGTAAAAACATGTTTAAATAACTCTTTTAAAATACAATTTTATTTTACATAACTTGCTAACACAACTAACAAATTATTTGAAAAAAAAAATCCTTTTTTTCTTTTCTTAAATATAAATAAAGTGTTTAAAACGGGTTAAATTTTATTTTCTAAACATTTGTAAGATCCTTTTAGACATGATTATCAAACCCGCTGTCTGAAAATATTTTAAGATTGCGAACAAAGAACGTAATTAAAACGCCCTAATTGAACATTAAAAAAAAAAAAAATAACTTGGAAGTTAAGATCTGAAAAATCTCCTTGGAAAAGCCGCCTATATCAATTGGGGTTCCACCAGCAGCAAAACATCTTCGTTTGGGGTCAGTCTGCACGTTTGCCGCATAATTTATGCAAACTAAAATTTCCACTTAAGCATTTCATTCCATCTCGGCGCAATCTTATCTTCCCCCCCTCATCCTCATTCGTCTCATTCCGCCAGCAATTAAATGGAACACAAATTTCCCGTCCAAAGTCCGGACATTCGGATCTCAGACGGACAACTCGGAGAGAGCAGACAGTACTTGGCATTATTTATGGCTTCCTTTTGGGCCCTTTGTTGCCTCGTTGTTCTCGAGGAGTTTTCTGAATTGCGATTTGGTTTGGGATTCGGATTTTGGGTTTGAAATGGGGATTGGGTTGCAAGGGTTGGGGTTGCGGTTTGAAAATGTATGGAGGGTTAAGGGATGCACAATCCAAATTGCAATTAATAAGGACCCTTAACTTACAGTGACAACAAACTTTATTAAATTTAACAATTTTAAAGAAACAATTTTTTTTAAAATTATTAAAATTATTTGTTAAGTTATATCGTTTTTATCTATTTGATTTTTAATTTGTAATAGAAATTTAGTTAATTGAGTTAGATTTGGCTCTCTATTTGTAATGTATACTGCTTTTACTTAATATTCCCAATGTATTAACCAAATTATTTTCGGTATAACAAACGGGGCAATCGAATTCGGAACCCATTGAAGCAAAGAAACCGCTTCGGTCAACAGGATTTTTTTTTGGCTTCTCCAGGCTCTCGGCCCAATGGCTCAATTCGCTTTCGTTTTCCACGCTTTTCCCCGCCTTGCTCCTCTATTCCCCTTGCATTCCATTTTCATTTTCGTTGGCAAACAAATTAAGCAAAGTTAATAACGAAATCT